GGTAGGAAGGTAGGAAGGTAGGTAGGCACGTAGGCAGGTAGGCAGGTAGGCAGGTAGGCAGGTAGGCAGGTAAGCAGGTAGGCAGGTAAGCAGGTAAGCAGGTGGGCAGGTAGGCAGGTGTGTCTACGTCTACGTGTCGCATATACGTACGAACCATAAAAGACATATGCATACATACGTTGATAAATAATAGTAGGTATCAATACAGGTATCAATACATATAAACAAATATTTGTATGCTTGTACATTTATAAACACAAACAAGTAAATATGAATAGCATGCATAAACGATAGAAAAATTATATACATGAACAAGAAATAGCTAGCTAACTTACTTACTTATTAAGTGACTGACCGACTGACTGCCTGACCGGCTGGCTGCCTGGTTGGCTGGCTGACTGACTGACTGGCTAAACAAGTAAAAGATATGTAAATAAGTAAGCAGATAAACTCACAAATAAATAAAATACGTATATATATATATATATGTATGTACACGCGCACCCCACAGCCTCCTCATCTGTATGTGTGTACATATATATATATATAGCTATACATGTATACAACTATGTTGAATGAAACAAGTAGAAACTTTAGCATATATTATATGTTTCTATGTACTTATGTATGTATGTATGTATGTATGTATGTATGTATGTATGTATGTATGTATGTATATATGTATGCATACATGTATGTATGTGTATGTATGTGTATATATATATATATAATGTACATAGAGTCTGCCTACTTACTTGTACCTACCCCTACCTACCTGCCTACCTACTTACCTACCGACATACCTACCGACCTACCGACCTACCCACCTACCGACCTACCGACCTACCGACCTACCTGCCTACCTGTCTACTTTCTCACTTATACACACACACACACACTCTCACTTGGACACCCCTTTTCGGGAGTAACTAGCGATTGGTTACAAGCATTGCAGGTACATCACCAGGCGTCCCTGGTGACATCTTCAAGCTTTTGCTAGATGGAGCTCCACAGGCCTGCTCCATCCCCCTGCAAGTATCTCTTTGTTATCAGCGTGTCACACAGAGAGAGAGAGAGAGAGAGAGCCTTTTTTTGAGCACGCCGACACCTCATACCCCAAACCGACAGCAATCCCGAAGCACCGCCGGGACCTCCAGGAAAGCAGCTGCACGGGGCGAGTGCAGTGCCGGGGCGGAGAAGCGCCGTCCCAGAGCCACCTGCTGGTTTGAACTATAAACCCGCCCCGCGAGACACGAAATTCACGAGATCCTCAAAGCTTCGGCAGCTGGGCCGGGTCAGGTTGGTGGCCCTGCCTTGTCCAGGGCTTTCAGCGGCCAGCCGATGGCGCTTGGGCCCAGTTCTTCCGCCAACGCTGCATTCTGCGCCTCGGAAGCTCCAGCTGCCGCGAAGTCTGATCCAATGCTGCGCGAGCCACCAGGAAACCGCCCAGAGCCAGCAATGCCGAGGGCGGTCGAGGCGCCTTTACAAGCGACAGAGGTCAGAGATCGACAGAGGCCCGAAGCAGCCAGTGCTGATCCGTATATGAGCCACTGCAGCAATGGCCTCATCAACTGAAACGACGCATGGAACAACGGCACCTCGGCGCGTGAGTCCCTCCGACAGACTCTCGCTCTGCCATGTATAAGACTTATCCTCGGCTGGCATTTGTACAACTGAAGCTCAAGCAGACACAGCGAACATGCCAAGAGTCCAGGCAAGTCGAAAAGAGAGGCCCGATGATGTCCTTCACGACCTGTCATAGCATGGCGCGCTACCCTGCAAAGGCTTTTACGATGGCTACAAGCCCGATCATGCTCAAGGCAACATTTCGCAGAAGGCCATGTCGAAGACAGATTCAGGACTTCCGGGGCGACTGCAGGTACAAGTTGTTCCCACAAGTTCTCGGGGCTTCGACCAGTCGAGGCGTCAGTGGGACTACTCCCAATCTGCGCAGCAACTTCCTGCCGGGTTAAACTGAGTAGGGCAACTCACTGCTGGATTTGAGTGACTGTTTTGATCAGAGCAGATTGCTTGATTGTTTCAGAAGTCGCAGAGGTTTTCGAGATTGGGGCTTCCCTCACATAAGCACATCATGCGAACCACAACTTTGAATAGAACAGCTGGCAAACACTGCACTTGTCCGCCCCACAGAATCCATTCATTCTCGGAAACGCCATGGCAAATAGCTTCCGCGCGTCCTGATTCGAGCGGCGGCTAGGGCATCCAAGGTTCCTGACATGTCTGGCAATGAAAATCTCATGAGAAAAAATGCTGTGCTGCCTTCATCAGTATCCGCCGTATCCGCTCCGCCTCAGGCACTGAGCAACGGCAACAAAAGCTTGGAGTCTGGCACATCGCGAAGCATAAGGCGGAGAGATGCTCAGGCAAGAGCCTTCAGCAAACAGCCTGCCAGAGGCCAGACAAGGAGGCGGAGCGGCCCGGGCCCACGACCCGCGAGCTGAGGCTCGGCCTGGGATCCACGGCGCGCAGCTCCGCCAGCAGCTCCGGCGGAAAGCCTTCCACCTGCCGAAACAGCCACAGCCTGCCACAGCCTGCCACAGCGTATCCGGAAGTGTCTCCGCGCCTCCGGCTTCGCGGGCGGCAGGACCAACTTGCTGGCTGCCGGCTGCAGTGAGCCGTCCCCCTTTAGTGGAAGCAAAGGCAGTTGTCGGGCCACCTGCAACGACAAGGGAGGCTCCAGGCGACCCAAAGCCACGTCCAGCATAACTCCTTTCAGCCCTTGCCTCCACCAGTCGAGGAGCATCATTGCGGGGTGCAGCGTCTAAAAGCTGGTCCTGTGGTGACCCAGCACGAATCAAGAGGAGTCTTGTGACAAGTTATCATGCACACCGGAGCAGCAGTCCAGCAGTACGAGGATCTGTCTCCATGAATCCAGTCCGGGGAAAGCCTGCACTGAACTAGCACCAAGTTCAACCTCTAAAAGCCTGTTCAGCTAGTACGAAGAGAATGCTAGGATGGCGATCAGCACCACCTTCGTCATACCAGTATCACCATCACCATCATCATCGTCATGAACATCATCATCATCATCATCATCATCATCATCATCATCTCATTATCGTCATCAGCAGCAAGATAACTGACGACTACAAGAACGATGATAAGAAGAACCACCACCACATCCACCACATCCGCCCCACCACCCCACCACCACCGCCACCACTGCCACT